ACATTTTGTGAGTTTTAGTAAATATAGTGGTTTCTTTTTCAAAAATATTTGCTGTTCTGCTTTTTAGACTGCATACTGCATCCTTACCATGTAGTTCTCCACAAAGCTTTACATGGAAGAGATTTTGATGCAAGGTAGGATTACTGCAATTGGAATTTATGTCCGCTAGAAGAACCACCGCATGACAAAGATTTTGTGGGCAGACGAGGCTACGTTTAATAGTGCGGGTCGTGTTAATCTGCACAATATACACTATTGGACTGAAGAAAATCCGCACTGGATACATGAGGTGCAGGTTCAAGGTAGATGGAGTCTTAATGTTTGGTGTGATGTAGTTGACGGAAAGATCGTAGGTCCATATTTCTTTGATAAAACTTTAAATGGGGAAACATATTTGGATTTTTTGAAAAATCAGTTAGTTGTTTTATTGGAACATATTTCCTTACAAACAAGAAGATATATGATATTACAATATGACGGGTGTCCTGCACACTTTTCCAGACGAGTTTGAGATTACTTGTATACAAGTTTTCCAAATAAATAATGAACTGGAAGGGAAAGTATATTCTCATGGCCAGCTAGATATCCAGACTTAACATGTCTGGACTTTGTCTGTGGGGAAGATTGAAGAACTTAGTGTTCCAAACTCGACAAACCACGCGGGACGACATGAAACAGCGCATTATAAACGCAATAAATAGTATATCAACAGCTGAAATTGAAGCAGCTGTTATGTCTGCTTTAGGGAAGCTGTTATGTCTCTTCTATTAGGAATCTTTCTAGATGATAATTTTGATTGTAGTGCTCATACAGATTACTTAAGTTACTATTCTTGCTACAAGTATATATTTAATACACAAATTAGTTTATATGATTCCTAAAAATGCCCTTAGAATGTGATACTTTGCACTATTTTATAGCCATTTACAGTACGGAATAACTGTTTGGGGTAATTCTTCTCACGCAGATCGAATTTTAAAACTACAAAAAAGAGTAGTGAGAATACTTGCAAGAGAAGAGCATAGGGGACACTCTCTCACAACTCAGGCCAAAAGAAATTAGTGATTATCGACCAATAGCACTCGCAGTTGGCAGTGATAGCCTGGCCAAAGTCCTTAAATAAATACAGACCGTTGACGCCAAAAATGCATTCCGAAAAACTAATTTTATCAAAATCAAATCACGATGCAAAATTTAAGTTGTGGTCTGCCTGTAAAGGTCCAAGATATAATCGTATCTTATCCTTAACTTCTTGCTTGCTCCTGGACACCCTTCATCCCTTCGGGTTACTTTCCCACTTGTTTCTTTCTCTTCTATGTCCTCTGCACAAATCTCTTTGAGAATTGCTCTCCAGCGATCTTACGACATAAGAATCTTCTCCATCAGTTTCATGACTGATTGCACCCTACTTCCTAGTACTCTCTTAGGCAGGCCCCTGTCCATCTATTGCCTACCAATAGAGTGTGTGAGACAGTGTCCGATACTTTACAACACTTTTATAATGGTATCGAACATCAGATATCTTCTAACTTTTCATTTCTTTTTAGCTTCAATGTTAATAATTTACTTTTCGTATGATATGATTTTCGTAAATATCTTTCCTAGGGCTTTAATCATTTCCTTTGTAGTTTTTGCATCTTTAAACTAAATCCAAGTGTCTGTTAAACCTTGCACTCATTTGCTTTTACCTTTGGAACCTTTGAGTTAAAATCTGCTTTCTCATTTGCTTAACTATATTCTTGCTCTCTTTTCTCCAATAGGTACATCTGATAATTGCATTTCTTCCAGTAGTATTATTATTAAATCCTGAGTTTCCGATTGTTCAAACTTGTAGCATTTTCTTTTTGATTCTTTTTTTTTGGTTTCTCCTGAATAAAGAGTTCGAAATAAATTATATAAATACTTTATTTTGCAGTAAGAATTAGAACTAAACATTATTAAATTAAAATACAAGTGACAGTTGACCACCGGAATCACGAATATGGTTTTGAACCAGTGTTGAAAAGTGCAAAATCAAATCTAAAGGTAAGAGCATTATAGGTATAAAAAAATATCTTCTGTGAAAGATAAATTTATTAACAACGTTAACTTCAGCTAAGAATTAGTATTTTTTTAGACATATTATTCATTTTTGTACATCTTCTTTTTCTACTGATCTCCATACTATGCTACTACCCTCCAACTTGCGCTAGCATCTTTATTTGTTTACTTAGTACCACTACGGTGTTTTTCTTTCATTCTTGCATTCCAGAAACAGAAGAAACTATATTTCTAAAAGATCTAAAAGATACTGATTACTGATTATAAAAACTTACTATAAATATGCAACAATATATACATAAGATTATTGTTTCCTAAGTATATATAGTTACCTAGTATACACGTTTTAGCTACTCGCCAACAGATAGCGCTGTATATTTAATTTTATATTACAATAATTATTTTGTATACACATAAAACAAATATATAAAAAAACCACTACATTTACGTGGAATTTATTTACAAATTTATTGAAAATGGCTCATGAAATTTCGTCTGCATTGTATTTTTAAAAAACTGAAGGAAGAATCAGTTCGTTCATTAAAAACCTTATTCCTATGCTGTGACCTTAGTCACTCACATTCAGCTGGTGGCCGTTTTCATGTGTCAACTTTCTTTGCAATGGTAAAATGATTTATGCCGTTTTTAAATGATATTTATCTATGTTTAATTGTTGCACAAAATCTATATACAGATTGAACGAAATAAATTCGGAACATAGGAATATAATGTATTTCGGCTCAATTCTGCTGTAGCTGGTTGGCCAACAAAAGATTGTCAAATAATTATATTATAGAAAATCCCATACTTCACCGGGCTGCTGGATTCTGAACTCATAAAAATTGAAAGCTACACATAAATCTACGATTTTATTATGCTGTCCAACCAGTTATAGTCCAGGAAATGTAGCATTTCACCTCGCAATTTTTTTCGTGCGGCGTGGATTGACTTGAAATTTAACAGAAGGTAGGTAAAAGCCTAAGGATCAAAATCTATATCGAACCAAAGTGCGCCAAAGCCTAGGGGGTGGTTGCCACCTCATCTCCGGGGTGAACATTTTTTTTACGTTTTAACTACAGGTTTCGATTAGAAAAGTGATTCTAAACAAAAAAATGTTGTATACATTTTTTTTAGAAAATGATATTTTTCAAGTTATTCGCGATTGAAAGTAACAACTTTTAGACGAAAAAATCCACGTTTTTAATCGATTTTTCGCGAATAACTCGAAAATGGTGCATTTAATCAAAAAAATTGTAGAAAACAAATTTGTAGCTTTTAAAAAGACAAATACAATTACAAATACAATATCAATGTTCAGCGGTTTTCTTCAAATGCCAAATTTGAAAGATTCAAAGTCAAATATCGGGAAAATGATGCATTTTGGAAGAAAAATCACAAAACCTTTTTTAAAGAGCATAAATAGACCTATCATAAAAAAATAAGGTCAATACCTCATTTTTTACGAAAAAATCGAGGAAAACAACACCCTAACCACACCCATAATTAAAATCGATCTTCACCCTTCTGCAATTCCCTTTGTAGATGTATTGTTAATACGTCCAAGAAGTTTATGTCTATGGCTTGGCAATGAAAATATCAGAGCAACAGATTGGGGATGGTATTCCAAAGATGGTTTGTTATTACCCGTACGCATGAACAAACAACCTGCACCCGATAAATTTTTGAAAATTATTTTTTGCCAATGCAAAAAAGATGCTGCGTTTCATATGGGTGCAGAAAAGTTGGTTTATACTGTAACTCTACTTGTTATGGGTGCTCAGGTGAAGGGTGCAATAACAGTCCACCAATAATTGAAGAAGATGAGGATGACATAGATCACGATGAAGATGTAATTGATGACGAATAAAATTAATATTATAATTGTTTTACCTATAAATGTAAATATTTTCAACTATTTATGTAAATGTATAAGAATATATGGTTCCTTTTTATGTTGATAATTTTTTTTGTATTTAATTCTACTTTTTTCAATTTATATCTTATAAATTAGTTTATAAAAACTGCAATGTTGTAAAGAGTGATTTTCAAAAGTTGAAAAGTTGCAAAATTTTGGCTATACCACTCATAACAATTAATTTTTAAGAGTTGAAAGTATATGAATTTGTATTTTAAAGTATAAAAAACTCACTATTTAACTAATCCAAACCAAATTTCACTCATCTTAAGATTTGTAATATTATTTTAAAATTTTTAAAAATTAAGGGTAGTTTTCACCCGTAAGAACAATCAAGGTTCATCGGCATGACATAAACTATAAAGCAGAGGGTGAGTTGAGCTTAATTCCAAATTTTTATGCAAATCGTTCCAAGGTGAAATCATTTTCTTCGCATTACAAATTTTTTTATATTAATCTCTAATAAGGGTCGCTTTTTAAGGGTTGAAATATGATGGAACTTTATTCAAAAGCACGAAACTATCATTATTTAATTAATTCAAACCAAATCTTACCCATATTCAGGTTTAATATGTTATTTTATAATTTTTGACAATTAGGGTAGTTTTTACCCCTAAAACCCTTCAGCGCACTTCGGTTCGATATAGATTTTGATCCTCTGGCTATTACCTACCTTCTGCTAAAGTTTCAACTGGATACATGCAGGACGAAAAAATTGCGAGGTTTTAACTTTTTTCGAGCTTCATTTCCTGAACTATTATCGCCTCCTTAGACAAACCCGTCTTACGCAAACAACTTTGTTGCGAGACAGATAGTTAAACGATATTTTATACAATGTCTATACCCAGGTATGGATTTATTTTTGTCCAAGTTTTATATTGGTCCACTATTTTAAATGCAGTTCAAACAGACATGTATTACATTGTATGTTCCGTTTTAATTTGGTTCAATCTGTAGAGAACGATATAATGTAGACTTTGTGATTACTAGGCTTATCTAAATTTGTCAGGACTTTCAGTAGGTATAATGATCAAATCAACTATCAAAAGTTTTGTTAGGTATATTTAAATAAAATAAAATTATTTATAATTAACAAAAAAATATGTAGGTAAAAACTAAAAATATTGATGAGTATTATATTTATAAGTCGTATGATTCGTCTTTTCGTACTTTAAATAAGATCTTGTAGATAATCCCAGCGAGACCTCCTCCAAGCAAAGGACCAACCCAGTAGATCTGCAAAAGGATAAGTATTTATTATAATAAATATATGTTTGTTACAGAATTAGTTATGTTAAGATAATAAAATCTAATGGTTTTCCCGTGTATAATCCGAAATTATAAACTCTTTGAAAAAAAGGCAGCAAATATTTAATTTCACGCAAACAAATCCTATGTATCTGTTGATACGTATTTCGACCTAATAGGTCTCGTCAGAACAGCTATTCATAGGAGTTTTCAACGTGAAAAATCAATATCTGCCTTTTAAGATCTGAATTGTGTTTCGAAACTATTTTACGGATTTGTAATTAGATGTCGCTAGAGCGTCCGTATTGAAGCCATGTTATTGTTGCTTGAAAGGCAGAAAATATTGATTTTTCACGTTGAGAACTCCTATGAATAGCTGTTCTGACGAGACCTATTAGGTCGAAATACGTATCAACAGATACATAGGATTTGTTTGCATGAAATCAAATATTTGCTGCCTTTTTTCATTTTATTCGGATTTACTCTGTGTGAGTACTAGAAGCACAATTCGCTAAGGATTTCTGCTTAGTTGTAAAAGACATGTCGTGAAATGCAAATTTTAGATTCCCCATGTCTCTTTTAACATCTTTTATCAACGTCTGTTTGCCTTGCAATTTTTAGGAGGTTCAGATTATAAGCAGAAATCTGAATTGTGTTTCGAAACTATTTTACGGATTTATAAATTCTTCTTAGAGTGCCATCTCCCTACGGAGGTTGACAATCATAACGGCTATTTTTATTTTTGAACTTGCTGTTCTAAACAAATCAATTGATCTGCATTGATACCAGTCACGTAGATTCTTTCACCATGATTCTTCCACCTTCGGCCCACAGATTTTCTTCCTAGAATCTTTTCCTATATTATGGGTCTGAAAATTTCATATTTTGGTCCCCTCATCACGTGGTATAAGGTTTTCCAGTTTTCTGGTTTGTATAGTGGTAATTAGTTCTGTTTCTTTACCAACCCTCCCCAGTACTTCATTATTTGTAATTCTTTCAGTCCATGATATTTTAAATACTGCGGTATAACCAGAGTTCGAAAGCCTCGATTCTTTTAAATTGCATTTTTCTAAAGTCAAAGTCTCAGCTCCATATAATAATATTGAAAATATATAACAGCGAATCTTACGTAGTCTGATTCTCCAAATTTGGAGTTTTGCACGTTAAGAGTGGCTTCATTCGTATAAATGCTGATCTGGCAATCTCTATATTTGCCTGTTTATTTCTTCAGTATAATCATTGGTTTTAAAGAACATAGATGTATTTGAGATGTACTGCTGGAGACGAATGCTGAGAATACCATGGGTGGCCCGAAGAACAAATGAATCCATACTGGTCCAGCTAAACATAAAGAAAAGACTAAGAACACAAATAACAGAACAGATAATAAGCTATTTTGGACATGTGCTTCGAAGAAATGGACTTGAAAAACTTACCATCCAGGGAAAAGTAGAAGGCAAAAGAAGTAGAGGTAGATCTCCTACACGATACACGGACCATATTGTTGCTACCATTGGCGCTCCATTGTCAGAATGTGCTAGATTGGCAGAAGATAGAAAAACGTGGAGGAACATTGGAAAAATTACCTAACAGCCTCATGATATCACGATACCTGCATTATGTTAACGACTAAGAAGAAGATCATTGGTTTCATTGATCAAAGTTACCAAGTAGGGGAGAAGGGGGAGGTCTGGGACAAGGGAGGTGTGGGACATTTCAAATTTCCCACCTTTATATGTGAACTATCAGTTCTGTACTTTCTCACTCGATGTATTACTGGTTGTAGCATTTCCTATTTGTTTAGTGTTGTAAAAGCATGTAACAACATGTGTTGTGATCAAAAGAGAATTTTATTGATTTTAATTTCTAAAAGGTAAAAATTTAACTTGTTTGTAAATCATTTTTTCTGATTATTATAATATTTCAAAGCAACATAGAAACCAATATAATGACAAGCTTTTATTTAAGTTTGTAAATTATATAATACAAAACCCTGGGGCACCTTGAGGTTATGTTTGTTCACTTATTTATTGTAAAATGCTCCACTATGAGGACTGGGACATAGCATATGTGGGAAGTCTGGGACATCGTCCCAGACCTCCCCTGTTGTACTATTTTTAATTTGATAATATTTAAATTCTTTTAATAGTATGTTTTTCCTTTGTTATAGTAAGATGCCTCATAAGTGGAAGAAGAAAAATCCTGAGAGGACTGCTCCATTAAAGTCTCGTATTGTGGAGGCCATTCAGCAGATTAATGAAGGAAACAATAAGGCAGGTAGCAAAGACATAGTATTTTAAAATCGGCTCTTCAACGACATTTGAAGAAGTATGATGAAGCTCCCAACAAATAATGAGTTGTTTTTCGTTCTAATTTGATATGTGGTATGGTATTCTCAGAAGAGCAATAATTGGCTCTAGTAGAATACATCCTAGCTGCAAGTAGAATGCATCATGGTTTAACATCAGTTCAGGTCAGAATTCTAGCGTGGCAATATGCAAGTGCCCTGAAATATAAAGTAGGCAATTCATGGAAAGTTAACCAAATGGTAGGATATGACTGGTTCAAAGGCTTCATGGAACGCCACAAAGAACTTTGTGTTTGTCTTCAACAAAACCAATGTTGATATGTACCTAAATAACTTGTAAACTAAAAACTATCTATGAAAATTAGAACCTCACCCTAGATCGTATATTAAACTGTGACGAAACAGGAATAAGTACAGTCAATATTCCACCCAAGGTTGTGGCTAAGTGTGGTGACAAGCAAGTAGGACAAGTTACATCGGCTGAAAGGGGGGAGCAAATCGCTGGCCTTTTTATAGTAAATGCAATAGAAAACGCTTTACCACTTGTACTTGTGTTTCCCAGAATCTTAAATGGTGCTCCTCCAGGCAGCATTGCACTAACTAGCAAGACATGAGCTGAACTTGGACGATCATACCCAATAATTGTGGTATATTCTTAAATGAAAATTGGCTCATTATCTTCAAGCCGGTGCTCCGTCACTGCCACTAACTGGGGAAACCCTAATTCTTCCAGAAACAAAAATAACTCGTCTGTCTTATTTCTAATCGATCGAATATTAATAAGAACCATGCCAAAGTTGCTAGCAGTTGAATTTGAGGATTCTAGACCCTTAGAACACGTCGAAACATTTAAAAATTTCGCCTTGGAGAAGCGATGGAAAAGTAATTTTGATGACATTCCCTTGATCTTTGCAGATGGATAATTCTTTCAGCAGCGATAAAGGACCTAAACGCAGCTAGATCTTCGTCTACCTCAGCTGGACCAATTCCATAGGCATTATGAAATTTCAAATAAATTTTTCGCAGATCTTCTGTTGTCATGGAAAGTCGTTCAGAAGCCAAGAATAGTTTGATGTTTGTTTTCGTAAAATCGCCATAACAAACCGAAGCAAATTGGTCGTACAGAAAGGCAAGATGCAGTTTGATGGCTTTTAATATCTCTGGTTCTCTTAATCTTGCTAGAAGATATCGATTGTCGGAGGGGTCCGTGTTCATGGTTAATCTAACCTTCGGTGGGGTCAAAGGGTCCAGATTTACAGTAGGCATTGCAATATTTTTTTTTTTAATTAATGTGAGAATAGGTATGCGGATTTGATTTGCACATTTCAATTTGCATGTTTATCTAAAACTACATTTATGTTTTCCCCTGTATTTTTGATATCATTCAAAATGGTTAATGAATTTTCTTGGCTAACGGGGCTTGGCTTCATAGATTTGTTGTTTAATTCTGAAAATGACTCTAAATTCCGTGGTTTATAAGTTGAAGATTTAATAGACAATTTAATATAAACGTTAGGTGGCCAAATTTCCTTATTAAAAAAGAATATATGGTGTAAGATTATTTAAAATCCCAACTTACCCAGTGGTTGTGCCATGCGTTTACAATTACAGCTGGTCCAAAGGAACGCGCGGGATTGATACTTGATCCTGTGTATGGAATCTGCAAACAAGATTAAATTAAAATTTTTAAAAGGTATTAGTAATTAGAAAGAAAGATATGGTTGAATAAACAGCTACCAAAGGAGTGGAATAGCGGCATTATTGTACCACTACATAAAAAAGGAAACCAGTTAGAATGTGAAAACTACCGTGGAATCACGCTGTTGAATGCGGCATACAAAATAATGTCCAACGTAATGTATGAAAGACTTAGACCATATGCTGAAAAAATAGTTGGCAAATACCAATGTGGCTTCTGTAGACAGAAGTCAACAATAGACCAGATATTTGTTCTGCGACAGATCCTTGAAAAAACAAGTGAATATAACATCGAGAATTCCTAACAAAAGCAATGAAAGAATTTAATATACCAACACAGCTAATAGAATTGGTAAAAGAAACACTAAAAGTAGAAAGTAAAATCCGGATACAAAACGAATTAACGGAAACAATAGATGTGAAGAAGGGACTACGCCAGGGAGACGCTCTATCATGCATATTATTCAACATCATACTTAAAAAAATTATAAGAGACACAACAGTTAATACCCGAGGAACAATAATTAATAAAAGCGTGCAAGTACTAGCATTTGCAGATGATGTTGACATAATCGCAAGATCAAGAAGAGAAATGATAGAGGCATTCACCCAAATAGAACGAGCTGCAAAAAATAGTGGTCTTAAAATCAATCAGACAAAAACAAAATATATGCCTGCAAATAAAAACGCACAAATAAGGCAGCTGCCAAATTTAACAATAGGAGAATACAACATTGAGGCGGTAAAAAACTTTACATAATTTGGATCCCTAGTTACGTCTGATAACAACGTTGCAGAGGAAGTGAAGAGGAGAATATTTATTGCCAATAAATGTTACCATGGCTTAATTAGGCAACTAAGATCAGATAACGTCTCCAGAAAAACAAAATGCCAAATATACAAAACATTAATAAGACCGGTACTCACATACGGTTCAGAAACCTGGACACTCTCTAAAAGAGAGGAAACGTTATTGGCCACCTTTGAAAGAAAAATCTTGCGACACATATATAAGGGCACAAAGGAAAACGGGATTTGGCGGAGAAGGTATAACTTTGAACTATACAACATATACCAGGATCCGGATATCATAACATTCATTAAAATAAAAAGACTACGTTGGATTGGACATGTGGAAAGAATGGAAGAAGACGAAATACCAAACAAAATATTCAAACAAGTGCCAGTAGGAAAAAGAACAAGAGGAATACCGAAGCTGAGATACGTGGAACAAATAGAAAATGATATAACAACATTAAAAATTAAAAAACTAAAAAAAAAAGCACGAAACAGGTCAGAATGGAGAAGAATCCTAGAACAGGCCAAGACCCAGAAAGGGTTGTCGCTCCAGTGATGATGATGATTAGAAAAAGGAAGTCAATATGTGTTATTGATATATTCAATTCTATATGCTGAACATATTTATTCGTTTAAATAAAAGCTTTTGTTTGAATTTTATAAATAAAGAGAATCAATCAGATATAAATTATTAAATAACTAACTAAAATTCGCAGAAATGTTTAAATAACACTAAAATATTTTAATAATACCAGACAAGAAATCTATTTTAATACTACCAGATAAAGAAATAAAAAAACATTTATTCATTCATGTATAGTAAAATAGTATAAGTACTTACTCCAGTCAAATGGCAAGCGACTGCAGCTAATCCAATGGCCAAAGGGCCAGATCCCTTTAAGTCTTTTCGGTAGGCATCGCAAACTCCTTGGATGACAAGTAAGAACATGAACGTCAAAGCGGCTTCCATGACCATTCCTTGCACGTCAGATAAGGAACTATGGGTATCGGTGACTCCAAAGGCACCAACTTTAGAGTCAGGAACAACCAACTAAAAGAAATATTGGAAATATATTTAGTATTATGTTTATCAGCATCAAAATGAACAATTACTATACCTATACAATATCTGGATAATAACAAAATGAGATAAAAATGTGATTCAGTACAATAGCTAAGTCAAAAAAGACTTGCATCTTGATCTACCTGATCAGATTGTAGTAATAAAAATATAATTAAAAAACAGTTACCTACTTATTTATGTAAAATTTTGCAAATTTATTGAAATATTGACTGAAATGAACATACTATTAAATAACTCCATCTTGTGTTTATGTACATAAATTATAAATAACTGCAAAATAAACAATAAAGGATTATTTACCTTTAATAAACCAGCTCCTCCAATAGCTCCAATACATTGGACGACTACGTAACTTAAACCTTTAATAATTTTAACATCCCAGTACAAACAAAGCTGAAGGTGACGGCAGGATTGATGTGGCCTCCACTAATATGAGCTATCGCCTACAAAAATAAAAAATTCATAATCTAATAGCTTTAGTGTTACTATATCCTATATTCTTAATTTTTAATAATTAAAGTTGGTAATAACATCAAGTTGGTAAGTCAATGTTGTACAAGTATGGGTTTTGCATTTATTATACCAGCCATTCAATACTTGGATAAGTATTTCAAAAATATATATATATACAATTCTTGTAGCAGCAGCCTTAGCAAAAAATAGAGCGCTTGATTGGTGTGAAAAATCCAATTAAGAGAGCTGTTATTATATCTGTCGCCAAATCGGTTTTGCAAGCACTCATTGGATCTCCAATTATGCTCTTTATTGCGGAAAAAAAATCAAATTTGTAAACACAATCTCTGGTTTCTTCTTCATTTTTCCTAGAACTTCCTTGTTCGTGATCCTTGCTGTCCATGATATTCTCAGCATTCTTCTATAAAGCCACATCTCAAATGCTTCAAGTTTTTTAATAGTGGTGTCTGTAAGCGTCCATGCCTCCGCCCCGTACAACTACACAGAGAAAACATAGCATCTCAAATGTCTCATTTTTGTATCTAGGGATATGTTGTGACTTTTGAAGATGGCGCTCATTTTGTTAAAGACCGTTCTTGCCTTTCCTATGCAGCACTTTATTTCCTGTACATTGCTCCACTGTTTGTTTATAATAGTTCCCAGGTAGCAATACTGTTTTACTCGCTCTATCTGCGTCCCATTAATGTATAGATGAGCTCCGTTTATATTCTACTTGCTGATAATCATTTGTTTCGTTTTGTGGGTATTAATGTTTAGTCTGTACTGTTGACTGTACTCGTTTATTCTGTCCATTAGCTTCTGAAGTCCCTCTAAACTATCAGCTATCACCATGGTGTCGTCGGCATATCTAACATTGTTTACTCTTTCACCATTTAGAAGGATGCCTTTGTCTATTCCGTAAAAAGCCTCGTTAAAAATTTTCTCTGAGTACATATTAAATATCAACGGCGATAAGATACATCCCTGTCTAAATCCACGTAATATGTTTATATGATATGTTTCTTCTACGTTAATTTTCATGTATGCGGTCTGATTCCAGTCGAGTTCTGAAATTATTCTGAGGTCTTTGTCATCCAGGTCTGCCTCTTTTAAAATGTTTATCATCTTTTGATGTTGAACTCTGTCAAATGCCTTTTCGTAGTCGATCAAGCACGCGCATACGTCGCAGTTAACGTACCTGCATCTTTGAAAAAGTACCTGTACTCCGAAAAGTGCCTTTCTGGTACCCACTGCGTTAATGAAGCCGAACTGTCTGTCCGATATTTGTTCCTCGCACTTCTTATAAATTCTTCCATGGATGACTCTAAGAAACAGTTTCAACATATGGCTCATTAGGCTGATTGTTCGATATTCTTCGCATTTTTTAGTCCCCTGTTTTTTAGGTATCGCTATGAATTCTGATTCTAGCCATTTATCAGGGATGATTCCTGTATTGTATATTTTATTGAAGACAGCCGTGATCCAATTTATTCTTTCTTTCTCCAAGACTTTCTTGTCATTAATAAACGAAAAGGATAAAATTACTAATCAACAGAGGAGCTTGTCAGGGAAATGTTATCTTCTTCTTCTTCTTGTGCCACTCCTATTAGAGATTGGAAATCAAGGCTATCCTGACCTTGTTTACAGCTGACCTAAAGAATTTAATAGTGGTACAGCCAATCCACTCTCTCAAATTACAGTTTTGGAATTTCTAAGTGGTACTTCTACTTTCACTCAGGTCCCGTTTCACCATTTACCTGAACAATATTATTTCTGTTGTTGTCAAATAGTTCTCTTATGTATTCACTCCATCTATTAATGTTCTTAGTTAAATCTATAATAATCTTTCCGTCTTTGTTCTTAAGCAAACTTATTTGATGCCTTTGAGTTCCTGTAATTTCTTTTACTTTTTTATGTACATTAAATGTGTCATATTTTCTTTCATAGTTTTTCATTTCTACATATTGTTTTTCAATCATCTCTGTAAGTCCTCTGTATTTTTGTGCATTATTCTTCATTTTACGTCTTTCATCCATTAGTTCTAGTATGTCTGGTGTCCATACCTTGTGTTTCTTTGCAGATCTGGTTAGGTGTTTCTTTCCCGTAGTTCTTATTGTAGTGTTTATATACTTAGGTTTTTCATCTATGTTGTCTGTTCTGCGGATTTGTCTTTCTGCTATACTGAGGCTGGTGTTTATTTCTTCTTGCACTGTTTGTCGTAGCTGTTTACTTTTAAGCTGGCTTAAGTCTAACGCTGGGATGATCGTTTTTTTTTTATTTTCTTTGGTCTAGCTTCTATCACAGATACTACTGGATTATAATCCGAACCGATATCAGCTTCAAGATAAGTTTTAGTAGATAGTAAGCAAGTGGCGCAAAATAGAAAACACTGGATTGGTTTGGGGGAGACCTATGTCCAAAGTTGGATTACTTAAGGATGAAGAAGAAGAAGAAGAAGAAAAAGAAAAAGAAGCAGAAGAAAAAGAGGAAGAAGTATATGAAGAAGAAGAAGAATAAACAAAGATGCAGGAATAAATGGAAAACTGTATATAAAAGTATTAATTATGCTCACAACAACTCACTATTATTCAATTCATCTATCTCCGCGCACTAGTATTCCTCGAAAAACTTTTTTTTCTTCCTAATCATATGCTTGCGCTATTACTAGAATTAAAATTCATCAGAGTATTTCAAAGCTACTTTTGTGAGTGTGGCAATTAATACAGAGAAAGACTTAAATCACATATTTTTCCATGTATCAGACACATGGAAACATCGAAAGATTTGTTATCCAAATTGTACAAACCAGATCCATTGCGGGTCCAGTTAAAACATATCATGCCAATTGTCTCATTCAACAAATCAATGTACGATGTCTTAATTATAGCTTAAAAAGTATAGCTTAATAATAGCTTAAAAAATTTTGAGATAGTCACTAAAATACAATTGATACGCACAAGTACATACTATTTAAAAATAGATATATTACAATGCATTTAATTTTAAGTCAATGATAATTCAATAATAAGATCTGTGGCTAATGAACATAATTCGAAGCCAAACCTCACCACACATTATATGAGATTGACCCTCTAAATTGACAAAAATTTGTAATTTCCTGTTTAAAAGAAAATTATTTCAAAATAAATCACAGCCAATGTGATTCGTCTAAATCACAACCAATAATTATAAATCGATAACACCCAAAATTTACTACTAGTCAAATAAATTTGGAACAGGTTTTTTACTAGCCTTATCAGTAAAACTAGTTGTAAGTTCTTACATTTTTATTGGTAAACTAATTATTTTGGGTACGACGAGTTTTACTAGTCATACCACCAACGAATAGCTGCCTAATGTATTGTTTTTTCGAAGGTGTATAAGTAAAACTGAAATACTATTTGATAAAACGGTCAACCAATTAAAAATGAACGTTTCTTTAAGGCGTGTTATGTAGAAAAGTAAGGATATTGATCAGAAACAATTTTTTCAAGATTAAGTGCTATAAAAACTTTCTTTTGGATTTTTAAAATCTTAAAAAGATCTTTTAAGATTTTTTCTCATAAAACTTGAGGTTACACACAAAATACATTAAGTAAAAATATACACATTTGAATACTTTCAATAGCCTAAATTATTGTATGTTAAATTTAATTAAAAAAAAATAAGCCTAAACTAAATTAGGTTTTTTTTAATTTTAAACTTTTTTTATTTATTTTGCTTCAACCACTTAAGGTTATTAGCATAAGAAAAATACAAAAGGTGATAAAGACATACATAAGCATATCTATACAAAATATCAATTACATAGTAATGTATATAATATATATTTAATTATTGATATATTGTATTAAATTTTATTAAAAAAGTTTATAGATTTCAAGAATTCTATCAAGTCAGCTACGTATTTAGATTCTCCTAGAAGTTCTTTTATATAAAATAACTTTGCTCTCTTACTGATAACCATGATTTTTGTTTTCCTTATGTTTATTGTTAAACCAAACTGTTCCCCAGTATCACAAATTGTGTTTAGTAACATCTGCAGGACTGTCCCACTTTTAGCGATAATGACTGTATCGTCAGCATAACGGATGTTATTTATATTTTCACTATTTATATTGATCCCTTCTGTACAGTTTTCAAGTGCTTGTGAAATAACTCTTCGGAATATATATTAAATAGTAATGGTGAAAGTACACAGCCCTGTCTTACTCTACTTATCTGTTGCGCATCCGTGCTATTTCCATCTAATGTTACCACAGCCTTTTGTTACAATATAGAATTCTCACTATGTAAATGTCATTTTTGTCGAGTCCTTTTCTCTTTAGAGATCTTACTCACATTCTCACCGATCAATATTGTGCAAATACGTTCTTCTCCAGGGTACAGGTCATTTTCGGCAAGTCCATCAGTCCAAAAATTCGTTTTGTAGAGAAGTACTGTTAACAATCCTTTATCTTAGTGTTTAAAGTTCAAAGGATCGTTCTTGATTAGGAGTTGTAACACTTCTGCAGCCTTGACCAAGTATTCTTAAGTTACTCGCAGTGACAGCAATGCGTGTTAAAACTCTGTTGGTTCATTTTAAGGAAAACACTTCTTCTTCTTCTTCTTCCTTCTAGTATGTAGGCTTTAAAGCTTGTTTCTTCTTCAATATTAGCCTTATAAATTGTCGCATCATCTTTTTCTTGGTCTGCCAATACTTCTTCGTCCATTTGGTGACTTATCTCGTGCTATTCGTACTATTCTATCATCTGCCATTCTACTGATATGTTCGTTCCACTCCTGTTTTCGTTTTATCATCCATCTATCTTCTTATGTTTTCGCTTTTCTCCCTATCCAATAGACTTCTCCCTAATATTCGTCGGAGTATTTTCATCTATGTTGTTTCTAGCAGTCGTCTCGTTTTAGATGTGCCAGGTCTTGTCTGCGCCGTATATGTTAATATATATCTAATTGCTGCTTTATAGATTCTTGTTTTTGTGTCTTGTCTTAAGTGTTTGTTTTTCCAGATTTTGTCATTAAGAGAACCCACCGCTTTACTTGCTTTTAAGCTTTATTGTCGTACTTCTTCTTCAACATCTCCGTAACTAGTTATATCTATTTCCAAATATCTAAACCTTGCTTTTATCTAAACCTTGGGAAAAACACTAAATAAACTTAAAAAATTGTTTTGAAGATTTAGCAAAACGCACTCAAACCAAAATAAATTGGAGTGAAAGGAACTAGTAAAGATTTATCAGCTAAAATTATAAGTTTAGAATTAGATATTAATTTTGGTGAGCAGTGTATAATTGAAACTTATACCTCTACATTTCTAGTAGGAAGTGAATTAATCAAAGAATCGTACCTGCCAAGGTGATTCATGTTTCAGCCACTTTATTCCTAATAATACATTATAACATTTTTAGCACCTTGATGGTGTTAATTGTGTTAACTTAATTTTTTAAGCAAATTTGCTGCATTTTAAAGATAATGTTATATATTTATTTAATAACATCTTAAAATCAATACACACACAAATCCTAAATTTTTTATTAAATGTGATAATCTGTCATAAGTGAAGATATTTCGTTAATTGTTGTTTCAACATGAACTCAAGGTTTGTTTACTTTTTTTTGTTTTTAAAGTGTGTTCTCTCTCTTTGAGAGTGGCCCAACGACTGGACAACATCCACTTTCATCCCTATATTCAAAAAAGTAACTGCGCTAGATTGCAGGAACTACAGAATGGTAACCCTAATATCCCATGCAAGCAAGGTTCTACTTCATGTAATACATGAAAGACTAAAAGCTTTCCTATTACCTCAGATATCAGAAAAACAATCGGTATTTGTCCCAGGAGAAGGCACAAGAGAACACATCCTTAATGTTAGACAGCTAATCGAAAAATCTCGCGAACTATGCTTATGTGTTTTGCTGATTACACAAAGGCCTTCGAAGTCAAATAGCAGCAGCTATAGTCCATATTAGCGGAAATGGGAACACCATTACCACTTAATTTAACTAATTAGAAGTCCATATGAAAATAATAAGTGCACAGTAAAAATAAACAACGCCCATTCCGATCATTTCAGAATAGAGGCAGGTGTCAGCAGCTATGCACAATCTCGCCAACTATGTTTTATATCTACAGCGAACATATTATGCGAAAGATACTAGACGGATGGAAGGGTGCAATAACAGTAGTAGGTCAAAAAATCAGTAACTTGAGATTTGCTGATGACACTTTAATAATCAAGAAGAGAAACGCAAAACATATAGGCTAAAGCTAAATATTAGTAAGACAAAGATTATAATAGTAGACAGAGCTCGGAACAATCTTTAACACATTAAAGAAATTGGGGGCTTTGAAGTAGTAAATAGTTTCATATACCTGGGGTCCCCAATAACAAATGACGGAGGATGTGACAGAGAGATACGTAGAAGGTTAACTATTGCTAGAACAGCTATGTTGGAACTGGTCATCATTCCTTAACCTCTTCCATTTACTGTTGGATATAGGTCTCCTCCATGTTCTTCCATTGTTCTCTATCTTGCGCCTTCGGTATCCAATTTCCGACTGTTTTGCTCAAGTCATCCATCCATCTTTTTGGTGGTCTGCCTCGGTGTCTTTTGTCTTTTCTAGGTCTCCATTCTATGAGTCTTTTGGTCCACCTATTATTATTTAAACGTGCTATATGTCCAGCCAATCTCCATTTGGCTTGTGCAATTTTTTCTATGACATCTGTCACTTTAGTCCTCTCTCTCACTATCCTATTCGGTACCATATTTCTTCTAGTTATTCCCAACATTGCTCTTTCCATTTTTCTTTGGGTTACTCTCAATTTATTTGCAGAATGTTTGGTTAAAGTTATTGTTTCGGAACCATATGTTATTACTGGCAGTATGCATTGGTTGTAAACCTTTTTCTTCAAGCAAATCGGTAGAGTTCCTTTTAGAATATCTCGCATCTTGCCAAATGCTGCCAATTCCAAGCCTATGCGACGCTGGATCTCACAAGTTTGATTGTCTTTTTCAATTCTAATTTCATCCCCTTAATAGATATAGCTAAAGACCTGATGTACTTCGTTCCGATCTACCCTCATAACATCACTTGGAACTAAATTGTATTGTATGTATTTTGTTTTTTCAAAGTTTATGTTCAGGCCTATTTGTTCTATTGCCTGTTTTAGTTCTTCCATCATTTTGTGAGCTTCATTTAAACTCTCGGCTATAATGACAATATCATCTGCAAAGCGCAAGTGGCTTAAATATTCACCATCAATATTTATTCCCCTTTTAGCCCAATCTAGTTTTTTAAAGGTATATTCCAGAGTTGCAGTAAATAGTTGGGGGGAGATGGTGTCGCCCTGACTAATTCCTCGCTCAATTCTATATTTATCGGTAAAGTCATGAAGTTTTAACAGATGCTGTTGCGTTGTTGTATATATGTTTTATCAAATTTGTATATCTATAGTCTACTCGGCTTTGTTCTAATGCTCCTAATACTGCCGATAATTCCACGATATCAAAAGCTTTTTTGAAGTCTATGAAAATCAATGTAAGTGGTTTATTATATTCAACACATTTTTTAATTAGTGTTTTAAGTGCTTGTAGGTGGTCATTTGTTCCATAACCTTTCCTAAACCCAGCTTGCTCCTTAGACTGATAGAAATCTAATTTTCGTTCTAAACGTTTTGTGATGATCTTGGTAAACCATTTGTAGAGATGTGACAACAGACTTATCGGTCTATAATTCTCTAGGTCTGATATATCTCCTTTTTTGTGTATTAGGATAGTAATTGCATTGTTCCATTTTGTAGGGACAATACCTTGGTTTAGACATAGGTTGAATAGTTCAGTTACTACTTCCAGCAGTTTCTTGCCTCCCACTTTAACAGCTTCTATTACTATTTGGTCATCTCCCGGAGCCTTGTTGTTTTTCATTTCCTTTAGAGTTCGTTTCACTTCTTCTATCATGGTAGGCAGAAGTTCGGATCCTTGGTTCATTACTCTGCGTTCTCTAATTTGTGTTTTGTCTTCTTTTGTTAACTGGCTTTTGTATAATTATTCATAGAAGCTTTTTGCTATCTCTACTATTCTCTCTCTATTTGTTGTTATATTACCTTCCTTGTTAACAATTTCCTTTTTACCATCACAAAGCTTTCTTCTGAGTATTTTCATATTTCCATTTTGCTCAATCACATTTTGTATTTTCTCAATATTATACTTTCTCTGATCTTTACGAATTGCTTTTGAGATATCTCTGTTCAGATTTCTGAGTTCAGCTGAGTCGCCTTTCTGCTCTGATCTCTTGATTTTTCCTTCTTTAATGAGCTTTCTGGTGATTTCGCTCAGTTTCTCTTCTTTTCCGGCTGGTCTAGCACAGTACTGTTTTTGTGCAGTCATTAACGCTTCTGTGATTGCATTATTTACTGTTTCAACATCTGTCGAAAGAGGGTGGTTTGAGGCCCGATTTATAGCTTCCACATATTCTTTTGGGTTCTCTGATGGAACTGGTAACAATTTGGAAAAATTCTAGCATAACAATAAACACAAAACTAAGGCTGGTAAGGGCACTCATTTTTCCCATAGCCACATATGCATCCGAAACGTGGACCCTTAAGACAGCGGATAAAAATAAACTAGAGACTTTTGAAATGTGGGTATACCAATGCATGTTAAGAGTATCCTGGATTGATCATCGCACTAACGTATCGATATTAGAACAACTTAAAGTAAAGGGTATATTGCTTTAACAAAAACAACAGAGATATTTGCAGTATTTTGGACACATTGCTAGAAGAAGAGGCACGATGGAAAAACTGATAGTCGAGGGTAGAGTTGAAGAAAGATACCTAGGGGATGATCTCCAAGCCGTTCGGTAGATTAAACAAAAATATTGATTAACCAAGGGTTACATGAAGCCGAACAACTAGCCCAAGACAGGGTAGGATGAAGGAAAATCGTGAAAAAAATGTAAAGACCTGATGGTGTCACTACATCCCAAACGGGATTAGGACTAAGGAGGAGGAATGTTTTTGAGAGGAGGAATACTTTTGCCAGTGAAACATAGTAGATGAGTAAACAAGTCCCTCTTATTAAGATTAGTTATTATAAACTCTAAATTTTATATTTCCTATAAACAACAAACATTAAATATTAGCTCAAACCTCACGAGTACGATTTCTTAATTGCCGCCGCGGAGCCTATGATTAGATTCTCGTATTTTTAATTTATTGATAATAAATTTGATAACCCATATAAGATTCCTAAAGCAAACAATATCTTGATTTATATCACACGCTTGTTAACCTTTTTATTTCTTTATTATTTGCACAAGTACTTACGAGGTAAATGATTATAGTATAATTAACAATTAAGAGCGTGACAGGAGTTAATAAAAAGTTATGACGCTTTTATTGGCGCTTCCCTTACGTATACGGATTGGTTATGTAAACGTTTGTAACGACGAATGATAGGTATGTAGTATATGACTGTGATTAAAAATAATCTTTTGTCAATATTATAGATTTGCCTATATTTTTTTATGATTTTATGAGTTGGAAGTTGTGATTTGACTTATTGTCAACAAACATCAATAAATTTAAAATAAATCCAACGGGAAAATCAAACTATCACTAAAATTACTGTATTTTGCACAAATGATGATTAATTTCTACACTTGAAGTGTCCTCTCCTGTGGGTCTTTCTGACCACTCGCTTATTACTGCTCACATTCAATTTAGTTTCACACCGCCTTGCAAAAATAATTTCGCAATGCATGCCACTACTGATTTCTTTAATGAAAATTCAGTTTTATCCCAGTTAAACTGGCAATCTATTTTTCCTAATCACTCTGATCCATCGTCAATGTGAGACTCTTTTCTTCGTACTGGTATTACAACAATTTCTGATCGTACAACCGAACAACAGCTATACAGAAATCGACTAAAAACTTGAATTAACCTCTCAGCTACGCATTTAATTCAACATAAGCGAGAGCTTTGGCGAAGATATTAAACTTACTGGTACCGTTAATGATTTTCCAAAGTTAAGAAAAGAAATTGCAGAATGTATCATTGCAAGTGGTAATAGTAAAAAAGTTATCGGCACATTCGTACATCTTTATCTTCTAAAGTCTCCATACCATTACTTTAAAAAGCTGATGGGTGTTTATGTTCTTCGAATAACGAATCTTCGGAATGTTTTTTTCCTTGCATGATATTTTGTAGCAATCTAATTTGGGACCTCTCATTACATGTCCGAAATATTCCAGCTTTCTCTGTTTGATGCTTTTTATGATCTCAGTAGTCTTGCTGAGACGTTCTAGTAATGTGGAGTTACGAATCTTCTCCACCCAGGAAACTTTTAAAATTCTTCTAT